TAGTAGCGACCTTCAAATTTTTCTCAAAAAATCTCAAAAAATTAATTTAAGTTTCTCTTATTAGGTAGAACAGAATGGGAGGGTGACCCAAGAGAAAAGAAACAAAAAATATTTTTGGGTCTTTTAAGCATCACCCTAATATACAGTTTGAACGAGAAGAATGTCCATCCCTTGAAGAAATATATTATTGTCTACAGAATTTCATCCCCAGAGATAATAGTGTTTACCAACTTCTTGAAAGAAAAACTTTGACAAATTGTAATATTTTAAATGTTAATTTAGAAGAAACAGTATTCGAACAAATCGCAGTCCTAATAATCCCGTCAAAACCTGAACAAATTATTTTAAAATGTAACAGTAACCAGTATATATACATAAGGTCACATGTATTAATCAAAATACCAAAATCTTGTGAAATTTGGACCAATGAAAGAAGATATATCAACAACATTCAATTGAGCAGGAAATCTTTTCATTCTACCAAAGCTCGACATGAAGAAAATTTCAAAACTTCAAAATCTTTTCAAACTTCTAATACCTATAACTAAATTAGATTTTAATGATTTAAATGAAATTAATCAAATTTCTAAACAATTAAGGGCAATTAAAGAAATTCAAAATAATTTTAATTATTCAAGGACTTTTGGAACAATTTTTGCAATTTTTATTTGCATAATTATTTTAATACTAATTAAATACAGAAGACAACTTTTAAGAAGATATAGAAGAAAAAAACGAAGAAATTGAATTAGAAAATCCCGCAGATGTTTTGAAAAATAACTCCATATTTTTTAAAACTTAAGCAGGGAGGAGTTATATATTGTGAACATAATAGACTCTTATGTTATAATTAAATTATCTTTGCTAAATAATAATTTTTAGTTTATAAATAGGAGTAAAACCTTATTAATAATATTGTTATTTGAGGTAGCTTTAGTGTAGGCACTAGTTCAGAGTTATCTTAAATATCTATTTAAGTGTATTTTTGCTTAATAAAATTTAAAAAAATAAAAGTTCCGTTATGGAATTTATAACTAGCACGTGCCGTATGTGACGCGCACCTTTATCAGCTTGGAAGACAACCTTTGTTGTATTGTATCGATGGAAGACTATATATATTTTTTTTTAATTTGGTGTCATCGGCATCGACTGCTAAGGTCATTAGCCTCGTGTTCTGTGTAGGTTTTGTTACTGTTTCCCAGCGTCACTTTAGGAACAGCACTGTTAATTAGAACCCAACAGTGAATGGTCGAGTGGGGAATCCTACCAAGGCATCAGAATTAATTTTAAATAATTAAATTAAATAAAAAAATCCTGGCCATTTTTAGCTTTCTTATTATAAAAATAACACATTTATTTTCAGCTTTGCGAATATAATTTTTTTTTCATTTTTTTTTCATTTTTTTTTGCTTATTTAGGTGGATGGAAGAAGTATTTTGTCGTGAAATTCAGGTGGAAGACGATATTTTCTAAATGTTATTTCTTTAAATTAACATGTACAACAAGTTTCATGCATGCGAAAATGATTTTTTTTTTAGTTTTTTTACTGTAATTGCAACCCTCCTGCAACCCCCTGTCGTACGGGTGCGTTGGAAGACGTTCATATTAGAGTTACATATTACTTGCATAACTCGTGTAAAAAAAATTAAACTTGCGAAATGACCCGAAAATTTCTGTCGTTACCTCCCGGTCTATAAGAATGCTAGCTTCTATTATAATTCTTCAAAGAAAAAGATGAAGAGTGAAGAGTTAACGTACAATGAAGTTGAAGAAGCTGAATATAACATAATAAAGATGATCCAAAAAGAAAGTTTTGAAAAAATAGATTTAAAAAATTACAAACATTTGAAGATGAAAAGAGAATTTTAAGATTAAAGTCAAGATTAAGATTTGCAGATACATCCGAAGACTTTAAATATCCTATGTTGCTACCGAATAAACATATTATTCTTAGAAGATTAATTTTAGAACAACATAATGTAGATAAACATATTGGAATTCAAACATTGCTGTGCATTTTAAGAGAAAAATATTGGATAAAGGACGAAGAACAGTAAAAGAAATTATTTCAAGATGCATAAAATGCAATAGATCTAAAGCAAAATATGCAGAGGCACCATTTGCACCTCTACCTAGAGAAAGAGTAAGTAATATAGAGCGGCATTTGAAAACTCTGGTGTTGATCTAGCAGGGCCATTATATTTAAAAGGTGGACAGAAGGTGTGGGATCGTTTTATTCATTTGTGTCGTGGCTATTCAGAATTAATTAAATCTCTTTAAAGTGACAGCTTTATTTTAGCTTTGAGAAGGTTTAGTGCCAGAAGAGGAAGAATAACAGTCATTTATTCAGATAACGGGACTAATTTTGTTAGTGCTCAAAATTTGCAGAAACAAATAGATTGGGAAACGATTTCAGAATATTCTTCAGTTCAGAAAATACGATGAATATTTAACCCTGTTAGTTCAGCATGGGGTGGATGGTGAGAACAGATGGCAAGAATGGTAAAAGAGCTATTAAGAAGAAACTTAGGAGAACAATCATTAGAATACTGGTAACTCTATTATGCGATGTGGAAGCAATGATAAATAACAGACCATCGACTTATATATCAGAAAATATAGCAGATTTGTTACCACTTAAACCTGTGATGTTTCTCCAAGGATTATCAACAAACGAAACTGTAGATTACGACACCATTTAGTTAGAAGATGTAGATATTTACAAAAAATGCGAGATGGTTTGAGATATCGATTTAAAAATGAGTACCTAGCGGAATTAGTGCAATTTGGTCAACGGAACGCCACTGTATTAAAGTTTAGTGATATCGTATTAGTGGGGCCCGACAATACTTACAGCCATGCATAGTCGATCGTCAGCGACTCGCCAGATTCATTTCGGCACATCGCCAGCGACCCGCCGGCGAAAGCCCGAAAATGTGGCGACTCGCTGGAGATTGTCATTGACATGTCATTTCACGCAAGTTTTCATGTTCTTTTATAGGGAAAAATTTGATATTCGTTCATTGTTTCTTGAGTTTTAAGAAATGAATCAATAATAAAATGCGAGAGATGCCAGTGATAATCCCTATAAAAGAACATGAAAACTTGCGAGAAATGACATGCCGGTGACAATCGCCAGCGGGTCGCCACCTCTTAGGGCTTCCGCCAGCGAATCGCTGGGGCGATACGCCGAAATGAATCTCTGGCGAATCGCTGGCGATCGACTATGCATACGTGTGTAAGAGAATTTATTGGCCTTTAGGAAAGATTATGGAAGGTATTCCCGGAAAGGAAGGAAAATTTAGAGTGGCTAAGATTAAGACAGTAAACAGCGTTAATTAAACGCATTGGAAGCTAGAGAATGGCTGGCAAGTGATGAAAGACAAAAGAAAAATAATTTTGCAACTCAAGAAGATATTCTCGAACAAGATGTTCATAAAGTAGATGCTCCTCAAGAAGATGCCGATCAAGTAGATGTTCCTCAAGTTGCAAATAAACGAGTTACCGTCAGCAGAAAAGGACGGATTGTACGAGCACCTCAACGTTTTGGGTTTTAGTTAATCTTTAATTTTATGTTACAATAAAAGGAGGGAGGATGTTAGAAATAGTTTCTCACCCGGTATATGTTTTTTGGTATGTTCACATTGACTTAATATGAAAATAAAAAATATTTATCAGAAGTCAATTTGTTGAATTATTTTTATTAAGATTTAAGACAAATTATCCATCAACTCCTTACAGAAGTAGGTAGAGAATTTTGTAATAGTCTCATACAATCTGTATGAAAAAGACTTTTTCCCTATAAAACTAGAACAAGAATTAGCCCGGTTTAAAAAGGAAGGATTTAGCAACATTGAAAATGCTAACCAAGCATTAACAAGAAGAAGGGAACAGAAATAAGAATAATAGCCCAAACAATGTTTTATTCAACTTTATGAACCAAAGAATAAAAGATAAAATTATAAATGTAACTGCGGATGCCATTATAATTAAACGACAATACTTGGAAAGACAAAATACAGCAAATGAATCTGTTCGCTTATTATTTTGGAAGGTTGTTAATAGTTACTTCTTCTTTTTCTTTTCTTTTTTTGGGCTATGTTACTGCGAACAATTTACCCAGATATAGTTGATTTGCTTCTACTAGATAGTGATTTTAAATAAATTTAAAAATTTGGAAAGGGTGGTAATTCTTCTATCATCCAAATGAGACAAGATGTATCGAATATCAAATGGGGCTGATAAACCAGCCTTCGTTAGTTCCAAATACACATCAAAAAGGGGAGATTTATTAATGGGACACTCTAAGATGATGTGATTTAACGATCCAACTTCTCCACACTCGCAAAATGGGTCATCTTTAATAGTTACTTATTTAAAAATATTTTATTTAATTTTCTTTAATATTGTAGGTTAATGGAAATGAATTAGAGCCGATAAAAGAGTTAGCCCTTGTGGGAATAGCATATACTTATACACTAACTTATAGACTGATGTTACTTGTTTGTCGTTTAGTTGATAGGTATTGTCAAATCTGTGAAGATTAATAAAGATACTTATACATTGAATCGTATCAGCCCTGAAATATTTTTGTATTCCTGGATCATCAGTTGAGTCTGAGAGCAATTTTAGTTCAGCGGGACTAATTTTGACGGATCGCAGATTAAAATAAAAATATGTTAACATGTTGATTTTTTTAAATAAGAACTTTGATATTTGCCAACTTAGTTAAATAATAAAAATAAGTATTTTATTCAAGAAAAAAAAACTATCGATATTTTCATTAAAGGCTATCGATAGTCATGACTATCGATAGTTTCCTATCTCTAATTACGCAGCTTGTTTCGACTTGCACTTAGGGTATGGTCCGTTATTAACCGTAATATCGGTTACTCGGTCTAAAACTAACCGCTCTGCTTGTCATTCCTGGGGAACGCGGTTACCTGAAAATGATGACTCAAATGTCAATTCACTAATCGGTAAATTTTTGCGGTTACCATTAAGTCGAATGTGAATGTCAATCTGTCACAAAATTGACGCAATTGTCAGCGGTGGTCCAAAAGTAACCAAGAAATTAGTTTTTTCAGGAACCACTCTCAAAAATTCCTGGTCACTTGCGGATAGTAGTCGGTTTATAACGGACCATACTCTTAATCAGCCGATTATCTGTTGTTGTATATAATAATGATAAAATTAAAACCACTTCAGCAACATTAAAATTGTTTTACTGGAAGTGTGTTACTTTGAATGGTGCGTAAAACCAGTGCATACCAATGTTGGTTAAATCTTAATAGTTATATCTCGATTTCACTTTCTTTTTAAATAATTTTATACAACCGGTTCTTAGACTATAAATAAAAAAATTTCAAGTTGAATACCTAATTGTTGCTTTCATTTATTAATTTATCTCCACCTATGAGACTGGTCCAGTTTTATAGAGCTTCAGAACGAATATATACAAATAATAATTGATTAAATATTATACTAGATTACAGTAAAATAATACGAAATACCTATATATTCTTATTTAAATATGACGCTAATAAATATTTGGTAAAAAGCCAGTTATCTCGTGGATATTCGAACGAGACGATACATAAAATCTTCGTTCATTTGGCGTTTCTTTTACGTCCATGCATATAATAGGATGTTTTCCTATTATTAATTTGTGACTGTAATCCCTGATGTCTAAGATTTTCCAACGGGAAACGTGATAAATATATACCTAAAATAATGAAATAATATATAACAACATTTATGTTTTGGAAAATAAAGTACTTACGTTGCCTACGTTACTACCTAAAATTAGTGTATTTCCGTAGAGATATATGCAAGTTATGTAGCACCTAAATATCGACCAAGTACTAAACAGTTTTTTGCTGTATTTTCCATTTTCATCGAGTAAAAAAAATTCTATAAAATCACAATTTCCGTCATCTTCGTTTTTATCTGAAATAATGTTGACACCGTTCCATTAGATAAACAATACAGAGGCGCGATATATGATTATAGTCGCAAAAATAAAATTTTGACTTGTTTACAGTCCTAGTCAGAGGTAATTTATCTTTTTTCATAATCAGTATTATTAATATATCTATTGATATGGAAGCGGGTTTTGTGTAAGCCCCCGATCATTTTTAAATTAGGAAGGAAAGTGCGATTTGTGCTTTTATAGTAGCATAAAAACAGATTTTGTTAATGTGTTTTTGTTTATCAGAGTTGAGTAGAGTAGTTTATTCATGTTATTGTTATGTGAGCCATTTTATTAGTCAGTCATGCTCTAATACTCCAAGTCCCTCTCTGTATTATTTGGCCTTTGAGGCTAAACTTGTCCGGTTACTATACATAATTAAACCCCTTAAGACCAAACCTATGGGACGACTATGGTGGAGACACTTTCGCGAACATTCCAGGGTCAACGTGATACTATTTCTAGAACGTGATAACGTTTCTGGTACATACTATCAATTTTGGTGGGAGAGCATTCTAGGCCACCAATTTGTATATAAATTGGTGGAGGAGAGCCATCAGTAATCAAGTAGTTATATATGGACAGTGAAGATAAATAGTAATTAGTAGATAGACAGTGGTGAATATAAATAGTGATCAGTTTAAAGACATTCGAAGTATATATAAATTAGAATAATTGTGTTATAAAATAAATAAGTGTTTAAATAAATTATTAATAAATAAACTGTTGTTTGAAAATAAATAAACATCACATTATTAAAATACAACATTTTTTACACACGTCAATAGTACAAACTTAAAAATATTAGGCATTTAAGTAAAAATATAAAAAATATGTAAACAAATAATATAGCACATGGGTACCTAATTAAAATAACAGTCATAAAAAAAAAATTTTCAATAATAGGTTCTTTCGTTCGCTATTGGTGTAGTGTCCACCAGTGTAAATTACACCAGTTACACCACCTTATTTACCCTAATTTACTTCCTCCTTATTCCTTATACACATCGTCGAGTGTAATTCACTCCTGCTAAATAGCTGGTGGAGAAAATATCCACCAGTGTACACCACATCGCCGACAGGAAGGTATAGTGGGTTTTACACCGGACCAAACGAAAGGTATGGGTGAGGGTTGGTGTAGTTTATTACTACACCCAACTACACCAGTGGGACGAACGAAAGAACCTATAGTAAGGAACAATGTACACAAACATTGTACAAATAGGTAACATAAAAACACTTATAGTTCCAAGACAGCCACCTGATTTAACTATGTTGTTGCATCACTGTGAAAAATATTTGTTTTAAGTTATTATCAAATCATTAAAGTTGTGGTTTAAGATTTCCTCAATTGAAAAAATAACCTTAGATTTAAGATTTCAGGGGGCAATTTGTTAAAGATTTTTGGGCCATAGTAAGAAATTCCAGTTCTGGTTTTTTCCAATCTATGGTATTCATGTGTATATTTTTTGCATTTCTAGTCATGCGGGTGTGTACATTATTGTGTGTTGTGTACTCTGTTAAATTATTTACTACATATTTCAATGAATACAAAATAAATAAAGATGCCAATGTTAGTATACCCAAATTTAGGTAACTCTCCATACAGTCCTCCCTGTAGCCCTTTCCATCGACTATCCTCACACATCTCCTTTGTAATCTAAATATTATATCACTAGATGTTGCGTGGCCCCAAGCTAAAATTGCGTAGGCAATTTTTTTGACAGTTTGACAGTTTGACAGTTTTTTTGATAAATTATATAGCAAGTAAGCTCCGGAACATAATTCTTTTGCTAGTTGCTCAGTGGGTTTTTTCCAAGATAACTTGGGTTCAAGATTGATTCCCAAATACCTGACAGTCTCAAAGTTGGGCACATCTATAGGCTTCATAGAAAAATACATTCTTTGTGTCTTTTGTTCATTAAGACTAAGATGGTTTTGTCCAAACCATTCTTTTGTTTTTGACTGCATCTCATCCAGGCTTCCCTCTAAATCAAGTAATATTTCAGCAACATCAACCCCGTTTGTGTCGCCCGCAAAGTTTAGGTACCTCTTGGTCTAAGTGCTGGTTAAATCATCAATTTCGTTAATTTAGATAATAAACAATGATGGCCCCAGCACAGATCCCTGAGGCACCCCTAGAGCCATCTCAATTAGATCTGACTTGTTTTTTTCTATATTTACATACTGTTTCCTCTCACCAAGATAAGAGTCTATCATATTTTTACTCGGTAAATCAAAACCATATATAGTACCTTACCAGTAACAGGCGTAATAGAAATAGGCCTATAATTGGAAGGATCGTTTTTACAGCCCTTTTTATAGACCGAGACCACCCTAGAGCATTTCAGACTGATAAGATGAATTGACTGTGTTATACATTCATTAAAGAGAATCGTTAAGAGGTAAAAGTATTTCTGAGGAAATATGTTTTAATATTTTTGCATTCATCAAATAGCAATCAAGAGAGTTTTTATTTTTTTAAGTTTAAGATTATATTTTTAACAGTGCTGCAACTTACCATAGTAAAAGAAAACGTCAAATTGGTTTTTGGTAAGTTTGATATGGTGTTCTCATCTCCCAAGACATTCTCTGGTATGCTATTCTTTACATTTTGAGCAACATTTCCAAAAAAGTTGTTAAAATCATCCGGAGTTAGATAAGTGTCCAGTTTTTTCTGTTTTAATTTTGAGTTATTTATAAGGCTCCACATTGCCTTTTGAGGATTTGAGGCATTTGTAATGAAATTGTCATTAGCTCTTTTCTTTGCTGCAGCCAGTGCCTGGCGATATTTTTTACGTTCCTGTTTAAAAGTGTTTATGATGTCAGGAGTGTTTCGCAGCTTAGATAAGTCATACAGAAAATTTAATGTTTCCCTCATCTGCTTAAGTTCTTCTGTGTACCAAACGATTGGCAAGCTATCTGTTTTTTTAGTTTTTGTCTTTTCTGGAAAACAGATTTCAGTTCCTCTTTGCATAATTTCAAAAAACTCTTTAAATTTCTGATTTATTGAGGTATTCGTGTCAGTCACAAAAGTCCAGTTAATCTGTTTTATGAAGTGTAAAAAATTGTTAAGACCCATTTTCGTTATTGGGCGGTATTCTGTTGTTTCTGGTTTGTTCACTTCTATGGGTAATTGAAAAGACATTGAGATATAACCCGAGAATAACTAAACGCCGAGAAGCGACAGCTTCATAGATTACTAATGTAAATAGATGGCAAACTCAATGGTAAAATTCTGAGTCGATGTGCTGCCATCTATCAAATTGGAGTCGTACTAAAATTCAATATGGCCGCCACGAGCGGGCTTTTTAAAATTTAACTTTGTAGTAGCGCAAAAATGTAATGAAGAAAATCAAATAAAGCAAAAAAATTGGAAAAATATTTAACTAGTTTCAAATCATAAAACAACCATATTGACTGTTTTGTGATTTGAAACTTGTAAAATATTTTGCCAATTTATATCTTTATTTGATTTTACTTCATTATATGTTTGCATTCATTTCAAACTTGAAATAAAATGCAATTTATTTTATTTTTTTTATTACAGTAAATTAACGCCGCATCATATAATTTGTCTATTTAAACACTAAACAAATATGCATTTACACCATTTAAATAATTAAATATTTATAAAACAAACCTATCAAAAATGTTTTCTGTAACAAAATCAGCATATATAAGTACTCAAGACCTTTATAAAAGTTTTGCGACTTGGAGTGGCAAATAAGTTTGAAAAAATTGAAGTTGAAGCATCATCCTTTTTTACTATCAAGGCAAATTTGAGTGTGGATAACATTTGCCATATGGTTATCGAGTCAACTAGTTAGGTTGAGGAGCATGTCTTCATCCGATAATTGTTTTCTTGATTCGTTTATACAGCACTTGTAGTTATCAAATTTTTATTCATCAAGTGGGCACTGTGATAAATGAATTTAACTTTTCAGCATAAATTAAACTTACACACGTTTGGACCCTTGAAGATTTTCTTGTTTGATGTCAATGGCATTGAATCAGTTTTTGATATTGATGGCTGAAGCTCAAATATTTCATCAATCGACAGGGTATTTTGAAGGGCCAACATTTTCTTTACAACAATGATTATTTAAAAACTGAAAACAAAAAGAAATTTAAATAACAAACCAATTATTTTAACACTGAATCAAAAACAAGTTTGTAAATATTACTTACCGTTGGTGCCAGTGATGGAGCATTTTTCAAAGACACTTATTACAAATTATTTGGTTATCCTTAATATGACGACTGCATATTTAATGTGGTATAAATTGCATCACTACCAATATCTGGGAGTGCTTTATTGTTTGTTGCTGAAATCCATCTTCCCGTCTTTTGAAAACATGCTTAAAATTGGAAGGTGTTGAAAAATAAATCTAGATTCTAGATGAAACAAAATCCAATACACATACACCATCAAATGCAATAGCCATTTTAATTTCTCAAGGTTTGAAGTTTTGACGAGCTGACAACTGACATGACATTTCGATACGAGCGCCATCCCGTTAATTGGAGTGGTACTAAAATACCAAACTCATGTTTTTTCCATTTGAGTTACCAGCCCCTGGTTTTATCTGTCTGTAAAAATTATTTGAAGAAATTACTTTCAAAAAATAAAATTTGATGTATCCTATAACTATAATTTTATATTATATAAATAAAAATATGTTTTAAATCAAAATATTCTTTAAAATTTTTATTATAAGCTAAATTTTTTATTAAAAATCAATATTAATCTAAACAAAATATTAGGGTTGCAGAGAACCCCGTAAATACGGCAACGCTGAATATCTTATTTTACGAATTTACAACTAGTACCTATTTTGGAGAATGAAATGTAGTTACCGTAACCAGGCGCAACGTTGCCAATCGGGTCTAACCGCTATTTTGTGTTTCTGACAGTTTCTGTGTGACATTGATTTATTCATTTATAAAATACTATTTTTGTGAACTTTTGTGAAAAATATAAAGAATTATGGTACATGCATGTGTAGTGTGCAATAAAGTATATCATTTAAATCGAAATTATCCTTTCATCGGAATGTCTTTTTAGGTTAAGTTATGTTATTTTCATTTGAACCAGTGGGGTCTTAATACCGTCTTAAGACTGTTTTGACTATACAATTTCTTGTACAAGATTTAATACAATTTCTTATAGAATTTAAATTGTATAGTATCACATAGTAAATTGTTTGAAAAATGATTATCCAATCTATTTTTTCAGACAATTTACTGTAGGTTTGATACTATACAATTTAAATTGTACAAGAAATTGTATCAAAATCTTGTAATTGTGTAGTCTAAAACAGTCTTTAATAAATTAGTAAATTATTCTTATTCGCTCCGTGCGAAGTCATGGAAAGGGAAGCAAAAGCGATACTAGCGCTAGCTGCGGAGAGTTCGAGCATTTTAGGGCGATATTTTGTAATTTTGGCATATCAAATACACGTATACATTTTACTTTTTTTCAAAAAAAAGTAGGTAAAAACAATACAATAAGCAACCGGAGTTGCTGTGTTGAAAATTGAACAAATACTAGCAAAAAAAAACAGTGATACTTATATAAAAAATTTCAGTAGAAAAGTGGAAATTAAATCAAAGAAATAAATGGATAGATATACAATAAGAAGAAAAATTACCTTTATTTTTGTAATAATAACCGTAATGCTGCAAATAGTAGACATCAGAAACTTGAAAGGTTTTAAATCAACAATAAATTATCATTTTACCATGTTCTTTAATATCCCTTATTCTTAAAATGTTCATTCAGAAAGGACTAGATTTCAAGATTTCTGCCTTTAATTATTATATGTGGTTGGAACGCAATTTTGTAACTTACTGATGGGAAATCAGTTTTAATCATTCATTCTGTTTTCTTTCGAACAAAAATGAAAATATAAGTAATGATCCTTTTTTTATACATTTTAACTTCACGCTATTATTAAATGGAATTTTTTTATTTTGACAGATTAGAGTAATTCTTCAATGAAAACTTATTAGACTTAGGCAACTTCTCATACAATTTCCAGTAAATACTGTTGCCTGCCTATATTTTATTATTCATTTTTATCGATTATACATAATTTTCTTTAATTTAAGCGATAAAAATATATAATAATAATAAATTAATGTTTTACTTGTTTTACAAATCCATATACTTTTATTAAAACTACCATATATACTTTTTAATTACGAATTCTATTAAAAGTTGCATTTGTCAGTGTACGCAGAAATAATCCATTAGTATCAAAACGAATTGGCGCTGCTGTCGCGCACGGAGCGAATACCAATAAATAATTATTGAATAGTGGCAAAGAAAATTTAACGTAAAATGGAGAATACTCAAAAATGATTTACCTATTAGGCACCTATATTTATTTTTTAATATTCTATTTAGGTTTCCGCAAGATCCTGAGAAAAGAAAACTTTGGTTTTCTCTAGTAGAGATTCTTGAAAATCAGTCCCTTCGTAAAAACCCAGAGTTGTGTTCAGAACACTTTTTTACTGAAGATGTTTTGGTACGTGCAAATGGTGTGAGGGCTTTTTATTTTTGGATGGCTTATCCAACAGGTAAAAATACAAAATATTAATTTTTGTTTACCTCTAAAATTTATTTATTACCTATATGTATGTATATCTAATGTATGGGTTTTTGTTCTGATTCAACTGTTTTTGGAACATCACCTGCTGCAAAAAAACATTGCAGTAAGTAATAACACTAAAAACTAAGCATAAAAAAATTAAATGAAATTTTAGTTAATAAAATTAAGGTATTTAATATATTTAAAACGTTATTTTAAAAATTTTTACAGTTTTTTTACGATATTTTTTGGCATACTATGTTTTTTTGTAATTATTAATTAAAAAATTATATATTTTTTGGACAGTGTTTTATTTAGATACCTCTCTACCTACTTAATGTTTATATAAAATTTTAAATAATTTTGGTTAACATCATACCAGGCAAATATATAGTAAATGCCAATAAACTATAAACCAATAAATATTAAAAATCGGTAACTTGAATTCTCTTGTATTTGAATTTACTTGTACTTGAATTTACCTACATGAAAAAGCATCATAATTATATTACTAAAAATATATACTTATTAACGTATTTTTTTACCATACTACTCTGACCATACTGGTAAATTTAAAACTCTACGCCACTGGGGGGCATATTATGGACACTGTTTACAACGTTGCCAGCCGGTCCAAAGAGATCTCTCTTTCTCTCTCCCACTCATTAACAATTTTAAAACAATAACAGTCCGCAATTATATGGGATTTAAGAATGAAAAATTTTGTCTCTGTTATAATGTCTTTGGGCGCAATTTAGAATTTAGATGATGAGGGGTCAGGCGCCTGTTCTGCTTGTTTAAAGTTGTTTTATGGTTTTCACGGAATTTTTAAAAAGCACCATGGTAAATGAGAGACTAAACCCCTAGCTACGATAACAATAAATAAAAATTTAGTTCTGGAGTTCGAGGAAAATGTCATGGAAAAATGTATTTCGATGAAGCAAATTTCAATTTCAGGAAGTCATGTCATGAACTTTTGTAAAAACAAAAATTAAAAACAATATAAATATGTAGATTTTCATGTTTGATTTTTTTAGAATAATTATTTTTATAAGATGTTTTACTACAAGAAATATATTTCATTTTGTTTATTGACTATTGACAAGGTGCAGTGTGTAGTATGGTATTTTTTCTATGTTAATGAAAAATAAAAAAAACAATTTTTCATAATCCCCACCCTTAAGTCAATTGGCGCCCCCCCCCACATTCGCAGCTCACGAGCCGCCACTGGTAAACACACCAAGCCAGTGTGTGTGGTGGATTTTTTAACTTATCGATACCGTGATACATTTACCATCGTATTATTGTACGTTTATGGCCATTTAATTAATTTGGAGCAACATCAAAAGGGATTTCGAACAGAAATCTGCTACTCATATGTTGTATGAAAGCGTTTTAGATGTTATCAGAGAAGGTATACCTCAATAATTATGGTCCTACCTTCTAATTTTTCCACATAACGCAATTAACTTTCGGGTGCCAATTGTTAACTTTTAATTGAATTATAAACGCGATTGCAACAATTTACAATATCCAAAGGTAATGTACAAGTTTCGACTGTATGATGAACAGCCTTTTGCAGCCGGTTTCACACGGAGTGGAGAAGACGTAGTCCGTTTACAATATTAGTTACAGAAATAACAGCTAAAATATACAAAGTGCACATGTCACCACAATAAGCCACCGAAGAAATCCCACTGACAGCAACTAGACTGGAAAATCGAGAACTATCGCAAGAAGAACTCTCATTTCAGTGACACAAAAATACAAGGTATGTACCACAATTAATGCCCCAATATAATAGACACAAAAAAGGTACTGCCAAAATATATAAAGTGTGCCAAATATCAAAAACAATTACTAAAATAGTTAGGATGAAATCAGATTGTAACAAATTGTCCAATTACGTTATGCATGTTAAGACAATTAAAAATACCTCTCGAGTATTTTCGGTTTCTTCTATAAACACGTCTAGTGAAGATGATAGTTCTGATGAGATTTGAATTTTCCTATTGATTGCATTTTTATATTATTAAACGTAACCACGTTATTTTGGAAAATAACATATTATTCCTGCTTTCTTTCTCTGCTTGCACGCTTTAATCATTTTAGACATTAAAGTCAGACTAATACGTCCCACATTCATCTTAATTTCTTACAATAAGAGGATACAATTTCCCCTTATTATATCAGTTAAGAACAGGCCGCTATAGAATTTCTCAGCCTCTTCAGCCACACCGGAGGGATCAGGGATCTGGTCTGTAGGAATAGGAAAAAATGTTACTGACCCACCATTTGCCTATCGATCTGAGAAACTCATACTAGCCCAGGAGGTAGTGAGGCTCGAGCCCACGACCTTTCATACGCGAGGCAGAAGCGTTACCCCATAGCCACCTCGCCCTGTAGATACAAACCGTGGTGTATTGCAATTTATAGTTCCCGCTAGGAACTTTACTACTTCCGAAAATATTGGGACATGCCTGATTCAAAACCACATCGAGAAAACAGGTCACATGACCTTAATACAACTATAAACATAGTGTGTAATGGGCTGAACTAACATGTGTAATTTAATTGTATAAAAATCCAACTGTGATATTCTGATGGTAATAAAAATTAAGAAAAACCGTATGTATAACACAAAAAACTTGAGAAAATCCTAAACCTGAATTAACCTAGTACCATCATGCTTTGATTTTTAATATTCAATGTAATATAATACTTTTCTTCCTCTTGAGATATTTTCAAACAATCACAAACTAAATCGTAACATCCAATTAAAGTCCGACACAGGATTTGCCTCAGGGCGCATTCGGTTGGTGTCAAAATTATGAAAAAGGAAATATTATCTCTGACCAAAACTATACATTACACCGGTTGGATGGGCCGCAAGCCTACAAATTCGGTCACCCATCCAGACCGAGACTGGTTCCTAGCTTCTCAAATTTGTATACTTACATAAACTTATAATTATATCATTTCTCAATATTTGTATATTCAACGAATCTAGAGGGGAATTGAAAGAGATGTTGGTTTTCTTTTTCATGATGTCCATGGGTCCACCTGCGGTCCCATATTCTATAATTTTCACTTCGTTGTTTATTAGAAACGTGCAAACACCTTCCCACATTTTCATGCAGGACAAACTCGAAGGCGAGTAAATTCTGGAAAACCATATTTCAACTAGTTCCTTCCTGCCAACGTGAGTCATTAATTTCGATATAGTTATTCTACCGCCGGCTTTTTCGTAGCAAATAAAGTTTTTGTAAACGCTGTAAAAAATATAGACACTATTTAGTTCGATATAATGACTACTACATAAAAATAAAACAAAATATACGAGCCCAGACGCATATGAATTTTTACCAAAACAAATAAACACAATTTTATTTTTCTGAATTAGAATTTATTTTACTATTATAAATTCAACGGATACGATTAAGCTTATTTGATACTATGTGGTTTTGACAATTAATCAATAATATATAAGACTTTTATCAACTACAATAATTATAAAATGAAAAAAAAAAAGGAAAATTAATGGCTGGTGCAAATTAATTGGACCAAATATTTAGTCAGCGTTACCACTGTGTGACGTCACCCTTACGTTTTATAACGGCTTCAATTCTCTGTGGCATAGTGCCTACTAATGTTTGACAGTAATCTGGTTGAAAGTTATTCCAAATTTCCTGAACTTTAACCTTTAATTCAGGAATTGTGCGAACTGGCGTAGTTCGAAGTGCTTTTTTCATCTGATGCCAAAGAGTATCAATAGGAGATAGGTCAGGACTGCTTGAAGGCCAGTTTAAAACAGGAATATTCATTTCCTGAAACCATAATGTTATGGATTTCGCTGTATGGCAGGCTGCGCCATCTTGTTGAAATGTAAATTATCCATCTGGCAGTTGAATTTCATTAATGGAAGGCAACAATTCTTCTTGTAAAATACTTTTGTACTTTATAGCATTGACAGTGCCATCAATGAAAAGGAGATGTCCAACTCCTTGTGAGGACATACAGCCCCAGACCATCACAGATGCCGGGAACTTAACCTTTCTTTTGAGGCAATCTTTGTGATATTCTTCTCCTGGCATTCGGATAACTCTGCTTCGTGTATCGCCAACACAGACCTCAAACTTAGCTTCATCACTCCAGATAACTGAATCCCATTGACGTTGAACCCAGTTTCGGTGCTCTTTTGCCCATAACAATCGGTTTCTTTTTTGTTTCTCTGTGAGAAGTGGTTTTTCCTTTGCCTAAAGTGAGATGATAAATTTGAATATTTAAGATAAGATAAGTGTTTCTTGTAAAAACTTACCTTGTAGAATCCATATCCCATTTTTTTCATTCTCTTCAAACAAGTGTCTTTTGAAATTGGTCTACCAATTGCATGGGCCCATTTTACAGCCAATTCTCGAGAAGAAGCTCGGCGATCTTGTTTAATAAGTGTCCGAAGAGCACGATCATCTCTTTCGGTAATCTTTGAAACACGGCCAGTTTTAACTTTTGTTTCAACATTTCCGGTTTTTTTAAAATTTGAAATTATATTTCTTACAGTTCCTTGAGGAATACTTAAATTTTGAGCAATTTTATGTCCAGAAAGTCCTTTCTTATGGGCCGCAACAATAGAATTTCTTAAATCGTCAGATAAACACTTTCCGCGAACCATTTTGACAAGTAACTAAATTGAATCACTCAACAAACGTCATAAATTATTTCTTCAACGCCCACTTGATAATATAATTTCCAGAACAAATTATACAAGAGATTTTATTGGATAAATAAATATTTATCATTACGATTGGGTGATGGTCCAATTAATTTGCGCCAGACATTACTTTTCTTTTTTGTTTATTTTATAATTATTGTAGTCGATAAAAATATTATATATTGTTGATTAATTATCAAAACCACATGGTATCAAATAAGCTTAATCGTATCCGTTGAATTTATAATAGTAAAATAAATTCTAATTCAGAAAAATAAAATTGTGTTTATTATTTGTTTTGGTCCAATTCATGTGCGTTTGGGCTCGTATATACTGTTGTTAATTATCAGTTTACCGACATGACTATCTTCTACCAAAGCAAGGCTTCAAGATTTTTATATAAGTACTCCCAACGGATTATAATAGAGCACTCAGGTCAGGATGGGTTTGTAAAAAATGGATTATTGCTATCTGTTAAAAAAATTAAAGATTCATCAGCAGACTATCACGAAGACATGACATCTACATTATTTGGAAAATGGCTTTGTCAACAGCTTCTACCTAATGTTCAGCAAAATTCAATAAAAGTTATGTACAATGCATCCTATCGTTCACGTCAAATAAATAAAATACCAATCACATCAATCAGAAAAGCAGATATTTGATCATTTACGAGCATAAAGGGGTTGAATATCCCAAAAAAAGATTTTCACCAAATATAGGTCAACAAAATTTTGAAAAATACTATATTGATGATTTTAAAAAAAAAAATGGACACATTATTATTCCATTACCCCCATATTATTGTACATTTAATCCAATAGAATTAATTTGGGTTTATATCAAAGATAAACTAAGACAAAGCAACCATTGTCCAAATTTGAGTATACAGGTAGTAGAAAATGTAAAAAAATACTGACTGAATAACAAAGATCTGTGGAAAAACTGCATAGATCATGTAATTAAAATCGAGAACAAGTATGTAATTTTACCACAAATGCGACCGGTTTATCATTCATCCTGGCAAAGAAAAAGAATAGGTATTTGAATTTTTTTATTTATTTTATATTGTGGTTACTGTTAACGTATTAAGTAGCACTTGTTTAATATTGTTACGCAACTGCAGCGTGCTGCGGTCGTCATATGTAAAGGTTCGAGTAAATGAAGAAGATAGAATTAGGCATTCCAAACAAATGAATTGCCAGTGGGAAGGTTTGGTATATCTAAGGGTGGCGACATACGGTGTATTCTATCTACTTTACGTAAAATCATGAATAATGGATTACATTTAAATATTTTATGTCAAACACAATAAAAATAATATTTAAAAAACCTACGTATACATTTCTTCATAAATTTGCAGGCTTGGCGACTACTACTTCGAATAAAAATAGCGTCTAAGTTGCAAGACTATGTCGCTACCCCCTTAGATATACAAGAATTTCCCACTGGCACATATTGTTTGACAGGTCGTTGGAATGCCTAATTAGGCATTCCAAACAAATGAATTACCAGTGGGCAGGTTTGGTATATCTAAGGGTGGCGACATATGGTGTATTCTATCTACTTTACGTAAAATCATGAATAATGGATTACATTTAAATATTTTATGTCAAACACAATAAAAATAATATTTAAAAAACCCATCTATACATTTCTTCATAAATTGGCAGGCTTGGCGAGTACTACTTCGAATAAAAATAGCGTCCAAATTGCAAGACTATGTCGCTACCCCCTTAAACATACAAGAATTTCCCACTGGCACCTATTGTTTGACAGGTCGTTGGAATGCCTAATAGTCCAAAAATCCAAAAAAGCCCATGATAATGTACGGGGCTGAAGTCTGGGGTCACAGACATGCCGACACTAGAGTAGTACGGCACCTACAGGCGACCCAGCGTCCCTTCCTATTAGCCATCACGAAGGCGTATCGCACCGCTCCCACCCTCGCCCTGCATGTACTTGCCGGGATTACCCCCCTCCAGGTGGATGCACGGTCGAGATGGGAAGGCTATACAGACATACGACGACAACCAGACGCATACACAACAAGAACCACCGACACAACACACCCAGCCCTAAGACACATCCTGACAATCGACCATATCCAAGAATCACACTATAACGCATACTCAGACGCAACAATAAAAGACAACCAACACTTTATTGGCATCACGATATGGAACGAACAACAACAAATACACGTAGGACAATACAAAATAACCACAGACAGCGACATTAACACCCTTGAGGCCCTAGGGGTCTACCTCACCGCTAAACACATACAACAGAACATGACGGACACCGACAAACACATTACATTACATACAGACTTACTTAACACTGTAACCTCCATGCACAATAACAACTCAAGGAACAAAATAGTCTTACTTACACAGAAAATCGCAACAACCCTTAAACAACAAAATAATACATTAACAATCAAATGGGAACACAGAAACAACGACAGGATAAAACAGGCGCATAACATAGCACAAGGCAACACATTACAGCACACTGACTTAGAATATACAAACATGAAAGTCCTAAGAGACAAACTACACAAAACAAAACTAGTACTTTGGCAACACATATGGGAACACGGACATACAGGACGAACAACATACAACATTATCAGAAAAGTAACCACAAAATGGGTAGGCTACAAAAAAATTGGCTCAAATATTTTTTTCTTCTTAATTTTCAAATTTTATTTTTTTACCTAAACGCGACATTGTATAGACATTCCTGATTTGTTTAGTAACAAGTATTATAAATTAAAAATTTAAAAAAACCGACTTCAAAAACGTGCAGATGCCATCACCACATCTTAACCAAATTTATATGGGACCACCCCTGAGGTATCCCCTTACTAACAAAAAAAGAATCATATAAATCGGACAAGGTGGTAAAGCATTATAGCTAAACATACATAAAAAAATGAAGAGTTTGTGGATTTTCTCATGGACCCAATTATTATATTTTGAACAAATTTATATGGGACCACCCCTGAAGTATCCCCTTTCCAACAAAAAAAGAATTATTGAAATCGGACACCGTGTTAAAGAATTATCGCTGAACATACATAAAAAAAAAATATCGTGACGAATTGAGTACCTCCTCCTTTTTTGAAGTCGGTTAAAAATCGCGTTATGATTGCTTTTTTCGTTCAAGAGGTATAGTTGAATTACGATTTTCATAGGTATGGAAACCTCTTAAATCACTTTCAATAATCTCAAAACAATCTTCATATATTAAAATTATTTCTGTGCATGATCAAAGTTGCCTATCCCTTAAAATTATTCGTTTTCAGTGTCATCATCAATACCTCCAAATTAGGCAGTTACATCTAGTAGACACAGCTACAATGCTTTGATATAAATTTACTCACTTTTAATAATTTGTTTAGGCAACTCTGGCACTGGACCACTCATATTAATTACACCTATACACTATTTATTAGATAATTTTTGATACAGTAATAATTATGGGAAATAGTTATTTAAAATCCATTCTTTGAAATTTCTTATAATAAATAAATAGGATAGTTAAATTAATTTGATTTTCCACTATTATATAAAAAATATACACCTATGGATATCCAGTGGTTCGACGCAAATTGGACAATAACTTTTTTGTTAAAATATTCAATTCCTAATAAAGTATAACACCAGCAATAAATTAATTTAAGAATAACCACTAAAAAATACAAAAAATAAATTCCAATTTTTTCAACTAAACACATACCTGAATGCAACTTAACACGTACCTATGTGATTTTACATCTAGTACTTCCAGCTGGCTTGTATTATACCCATCAAAACAAAATATATACAAGCCTTTGGGGAAAGAAATCACTAAACATATTTCAATACCCAGGTCAGTATGGCTACCTAAAAATTGTTTATTTTTACATAAAATAATAACCAGAGATGTATTCGGGCATTTAGAATTAAAAATATATTATTCCATATTAAACTAAAGCCCAATAATCTCTATATTCGATTTGGTAGTTTTAAAAACTTACTTTCGATAAAAGTCAGACTATTTATTCTTACAGCCAAAATCCTTGCAATAAACACTCTTTTCCACTGTGTGGTAAATATGGTAAGACGTCCATCTTGGGACCCTACTGCTATGAAGTCCTTAGAAACAGCAATGCTCGATATTCTTTGTACTTCTACTGGACTTAAGACTATGTCACAAATAACTTTATTCGGTTCTTCCCAAGAACACCAGTTAATGTAAATATTTAACCACTTTTGACTATCACTTTCTTCATAGTTTTGCATGTATTCTATTAGCTGATTCGTAGGAATCTCCTCTTTACAGCACCATTCCCAAATTTTCGTTTTCTACGAATATTAAATATTAGTTACCATTTGAATCACTCTTATATTAGAAAAAAACTTGTATTAAATATTTAATTGAACAAAAAATTACTTACTTCTGTTAAATACTCTACTACAGTTTTCCAATTCTCGTCCACTTTCCTAGCATTTAAGAGAGATTTACCATCACAATTTTTTAATATTCGCTCTATTATTTCAATAGGCAACATTTTAAATGCTAGTATAAATGCAACAAAAATAAAGAGTTTATTTATAAAACTTGAACACAAAAGCCTTGCAAATCATTATATTTATTTTTGTTTATTTTTATAAGCTGTTTTTTAGCGCTTATCACATTTAAAAATATTTTTGGTTCTGTCACTAGTGTCACTGTCTACTGTCACTTGTCAATTTCCAAAAGGCATATTTTTGATATTTAAATATAATTTAATTACCACCTTTATTAAATATGCAATATTACAGTAATCTTCTACAATTAATTAAATTTGATATTTTGACACAGGTATTTAGAAAAAATCACCATACACGCTTTTAACTGATTTACATATTTCGTAATGGATACATTTGTTACATAAGGCGAGTTCGGTCAGTCAGGGGCTGGAGCGGGACAAATTTTTAAATGACATTTAAGCGTGTTAAACTGTCACTAATCGGACTAAACCTAACGCTAAAAGGGTCGTTTGGAGTTAAAAGTGTTAAAGGAGTTAAAAGAACTTGGCAGACCGAACGCAATGATAGGCGACTTTTAGTAGATTGTTGCAGATTGTTGAACGTTGGCTACCTTGGCTACACTGTGCAGCCTCGTGACGGTTAAGTCAAGTTAAGTTAGGTTAATTTTTTTTTAAATTCAAAAATAACTTTGAAAACAGATTTTACTGTGTACCCAGAATAATTTTGCCAAAAATTTACCAAAATATAATATCCTTGCAAACCAAATATGAGTGCTGAAAGGTGAGCATACCTACCTTACATTCGTCAATAATATAATTTTTATATTTTTTTATATAGTCATATCAATAATCATAGAGTTGACTACCTAGAATGGGAAGAATATTTTATGGCAACAGCTTTTCTAGCAGCCAAGAGAAGTAAAGATCCTTGTTCTCAAGTTGGTGCATGTATAGTCAACGAAAACAAAGTTATTGTTGGTATTGGTTATAATGGAATGCCAAAAGGTTGCAAAGATAATGAATTTCCTTGGGGAAAGTCATCACTGGATTCTCTAGAGAATAAATTCATGTATGGTTAGTTATTAAGCTAATAGTTACATAAATACGACACAATTAATAATACCTATTGGAGGTAAAGTCTCCTCTCTGAAGAAAAACCAGATGTTCTTGTTGTAGATAACTGTTTCCTTGAAATTCTATTGTGAAAATGTGCAATTTACAAGAGTTCTTTTTCATTAATATGGATCAATACATTAGAAGTATCAATGTGAATGATGCAACATAAGATGACCATGAAACTAATATTTGGTAATAAAAAAATATATTTCATTGTTAAGAATTTTAATCCTAAATCTTAGACCATTTAGAAATAAATGACCTAGTAACTTATTTTAATGCCTTAGCAATGTATTTGAATGTTTTAGCAATGTATTTTGATGTGTTAGCATCATATTTCATGTTTTAGCAACATTTTAATGTTTTAGCAACTCATTTTATTGTCTTAGCCACGCATTTTATGTACAGGGTATCACTATATTTGATCAATAACGCTATACTCCAAGGAACTCTCAGTAATTGATGAATTTTGATATAAAAACATGTATGCTTAAAGGACTTTCTTACCGATATATAGGGTGTTGAAAGTTTGAAATTAAAATTCAAAATTTCTCTTAAATTGAAAATGCATTTAAATGTTTTTTTCAAATGTGGTGACCAATGTGCCCTTTTCTGAGCTTCTGAGTGACTATAACCACAAAATATTGAAACCTTATATCTGTCTGAGCAAGAAAACAGGCTCTGCATTGTAACAGGAATCCTTACCAGGCAATGACCACTCAAAGGACTTCTTAGTATACAAAGACTAGTTAGTAGAAGATATTGAGTGCAGATTATGTGAGGAGAAAGGATGAAACCTTCATTCACATTATGACATGTCAAAGAAGGCAGCAGAGAACCTAGGCAATTTAGAGTTGAAACCTATGCCATATTTTTAGGCTATTTCAAGGGTATTTTTATACCCTATTCAAAAATTTTATGCTCCTTGTTTAATCAAAAATCAAGGTATTCTGATAGTGTCGAATGAATTTGGCAGAGCACCTTAGTTTTTTTCTAAAAGCAACTACAGCATATTTTTAGGCTCTTAAAATATAAAACTTTTCGAAAAAAATAAGTATTTATTAAAAATAGCTTCGAACGAATGCAGCAGAGCACCTCGGTGCTTTAAAGCTTTTTTATAAAAACAACCACACATTTTTATGCTATTTTTAGGCTCTAGAAATATTATAAAACTTTACCAAACAATTGCTATGGTGGTATGGTTGTTTTTAGAAAAAAAGCTATAAAAAACCAAAGTGCTCTGCTGGATTTTTTCAAAGCTAGCAAAGAACCCCGTATTTTTTAAAAAAATATTAATTTTTTTCAAAAAGTTTTATAGTATTTCAAGAGCCTAAAATTGTGGTGTGGTTGTTTTTAGAAAAAGTTGTAAAATACCGAGGTACTTTTTTTTTTTTTTCGAAACAGTTTTATATTTTAAGAGTCTTAAGATAGCTTAAAGATGTGGCATAAGTACTTGTTTCCAGAAAGAAAAAAAAATAAACAGGTGCTCTGCTGACATTGTTTCAAAAAAGCACTCTGCATTATTTAAAAATAGTAATTTTTTGGTAAAGTTTTATAATATTTCAAGATCCTAAAAATAGCATAAAAAAGTAGTGTGGTTGTTTTTAGAAAAAGCTTTAAAAAACTGCTCTGCTGTATTCGTTCGAAGCTAGGCAAAGCACCTTGTGGTTTTTAAAAAAATACTAATTTTTTTAGAAAAGTTTTATAATATTTTAAGAGCCTAAAAATATGGTGTCGTTGTTTTTAGAAAAAAACTTTAAAAAACTGAGGTGCTCTGCTGACTTCGTTCAAAGCTAGCAGAGTATAAAAATGGCCCTAAAAATATGGCATAGTTTTCAACTCAAAATTGTCTAGGTTCTCTGTTACCTTCTTTGACACCATTCTGACTGAATGTGTAGCACTCCAGAATCCAAGGGCATTGTACTCAGAAGCATACCTACATTTCTTTGAGAAGATAAGATTGAAAGGATCATTACAAGCATTGAGACCTTGCTGCATTATAAATAAATATATATATTACGGAATAATCCATTAGTATCAATAAATTACATAAAATAAAATAGCTTAAGTACATTAAAAAAAAAAAAAAGGTAGGCACAATAAATCTAAAATTTCATATATGAAATGTAATAAACTAAACTAAAGATATTAAAAACAAATTCTCTTTACATCATTCACAAATTGACTAATAGAACACCCAGTGATGTCTAAATTGTATTGATTAGCCAGTCGCATTAGTCTAGGTAAAGGTGCATGATAAGCATAATTGGTAAGGTGAAGTTGAATGGCAAATAAACTATTATTTCTTGTAGTTCTTGTGGGAACTCTAAATTCAATCATAGCTAATAACTCATCAGAAGTAATAATCCCGGCTATGATCTTATGGAGGAATGATAGATCCATCAATATTCTTCTATTAACAAGGGTTGGGAGGTTTATTAAATCCAGAATTGTGGAATAATTATATGTACCTGCTGCTAGACCAACTTTAAAGGCACAATATCGTAGATATTTATTTTGGACATTTTCAATCCTTTTTACAGAGTTTATGTAAAATGGACACCATATGGTAGAGCTGTACTCCAAAATGGACCGCACATATGCAATATAAACCATTCTACAGGCATCTAAAGATAACGAGCTAGAGTTTCTTATCAGCATGCCTAACATTTTCATTGCTCTATTAACTATAAGATTGATATGATTATTAAACGAAAGATCTGAGCAAAACACGATTCCCAGGTCTTTAATTTCGGTAACACGTTTAATTAATGTATTGTTATTCAGAGAGTAGTTATGTGTTATTTGATTATGATTTTTTGTAAAAGTAATGCAGTAACACTTACTAGTGTTTAGGGTTAGACCATTAGAGGAAGACCATTTACATAAGGCATGGAAATCTTTTTCAATTGAAAACCTGGGGGTTTTCAATTTATTTGATTGATAGCTGGTTAAATTTGATTTGTAATAATTGTTTATGATGTTTTCATTCAAATAAATTGAGATTGGGGGGTTTCAATTTAGTTGATTGATAGCTGGTTAAACTTGATTTGTAATAATTGTTTATGATGTTTTCATTCAAATAAATTTTATTGACTGAAGGGGAGACACAATATAGGTTTCAGTGCATTAATACCTCATACATACCATACTTCTGTTCTAGCACCAAAAAAATGATGTAAAACCTTGCAAAATCATCTTACGTTCAGAAAACAATGTTTTAGCCTTATCACGAATTTTGATTCCATACGGGGATATAGTTCAGCCTGTGTCACCTCCTATCCTGCACTCAATTACAGAGAGCAGACAATAAAGCAGGGTTACCAACCGTCCGTCATTAGTCATTATGACGGACAGTCCAGCATTTAAATAGTGTGTCCGTCAGTCCGTCAAAGCATAGTTAATTACCGTCCATGTCGCCCAGAATATTTGCTCTGCTGTATGATGTGCTGTGAACGGAGTGTGTTTGTGTTTATTATTGACTTTTAAAATGCGTGATTCCCAAAACAGTGCTGACAGTGGCAGCAGTGATACACATAAAATGAAAACCCCGACAAAAAAAGCTTGTTATTTTAATTTTTTTTTTAGTTCAGTTGATTTTTGTTTTTTTTTTTTTTTCTGTTTAAAACTTGTGACATGGGTATTTTTTTGTACCTTAAATAAAAACTTTGCGATTACCTAATTACTTGTAAAAACAGCTTAGACTATCTTTACCAAAATTAGGTACGGATTTCTTTAAAAATAAATAAGTAATTTTGATTAAAAGAATGAAAATAAACTGAGTTATTTTTACTTCCCTTAATTTTCCCTAAAATCCCCTGCTATCCGTCATATCTGTTTCAAAAACCTGGCAACCCTGCAATAAAGCAATGTGCTACTTTTTACAATTAGCTCCTCAGCTTATTGCAAAAAGTAGCATGTAGTATGTTCATGAGCTGTAAATACAAATTCACCATAGCAGCCTTAGATGAAAATCTATTAAAATAATATAACAAAACTTAAATTACAATATAAATAATAATCCCATTTTAATTATCACAAACTCTTAATTTTCTTTTTCAAATTCGGGATCAACCATGATGGGTTCCATTTTGGTT